TGGGACATGCCTCCTGGCTGCAGTGTAGAGTCACCAGTAGCTGGGAGCTTGACATGTGTTCTGGCTGCAGTGTAGATTTACCAGTAGCTGGCTGACTGGCTGTTTGAAGACACTGACTGGAAACATGTGTTTGGTGTAATTGTTGTGATGGGCAGTTGACAGCCCTAAGTGCCAGATCAGTGTCAGCTGTGACAGGGCCTCGGGCTGTGTGTGAGTGTAGTGTTCAGATGAACCGTTTCATTGAAAACTGGAAACAGGAGCAGAAACACTGATCACAACTGACCCACCCTCACACCCTGTGTGACAAACTTGTTGGAATATGTTGAAAGTCTTAATGATTGCTTGTCTTGCTTCTAGTATATACTGTGCAAAAAAAGAAACGCAAAATAATTTCAGATGTATATTTTATAAATGGCACACATGGAACAGTATATTTTCATGGTGAAGGTCATCTGTTTGCAATATCTTGTATAACCACCAGAAGAGTCACATGGAACAGTATATTTTCATGGTGAAGGTCATCTGTTTGCAATATCTTGTATAACCACCAGAAGAGTCACATGGAACAGTATATTTTCATGGTGAAGGTCATCTGTTTGCAACATCTTGTATAACCACCAGAAGAGTCCAAACCTGACTCTCATCGTGATTCCATGAAACAATCAGATCCTGAATTGTGGCCTGGGGAATGTTCACCACCCTGTCTGCAGTGCTTGTGCCAACTGTCGGAGGTTCTGTGTGTGGTTGTTGCCTGGGGAATGTTCACTACCCTGTCTGCAGTGCTTGTGCCAACTGTCAGAGGTTCTGTGGTTGTTGCCTGGGGAATGTTCACTACCTGTCTGGAGTGCTTGTGCCAACTGTCGGAGGTTCTGTGGTTGTTGCCTGGGGAATGTTCACCACCCTGTCTGCAGTGCTTGTGCCAACTGTCGGAGGTTCTGTGGTTGTTGCCTGGGGAATGTTCACCACCCTGTCTGCAGTGCTTGTGCCAACTGTCGGAGGTTCTGTGGTTGTTGCCTGGGGAATGTTCACCACCCTGTCTGCAGTGCTTGTGCCAACTGTCGGAGGTTCTGTGGTTGTTGCCTGGGGAATGTTCACCACCCTGTCTGCAGTGCTTGTGCCAACTGTCGGAGGTTCTGTGGTTGTTGCCTGGGGAATGTTCACCACCCTGTCTGCAGTGCTTGTGCCAACTGTCGGAGGTTCTGTGGTTGTTGCCTGGGGAATGTTCACTACCCTGTCTGCAGTGCTTGTGCCAACTGTCGGAGGTTCTGTGGTTGTTGCCTGGGGAATGTTCACCACCCTGTCTGCAGTGCTTGTGCCAACTGTCGGAGGTTCTGTGGTTGTTGCCTGGGGAATGTTCACCACCCTGTCTGCAGTGCTTGTGCCAACTGTCGGAGGTTCTGTGGTTGTTGCCTGGGGAATGTTCACCACCCTGTCTGCAGTGCTTGTGCCAACTGTCGGAGGTTGTGGTTGTTGCCTGGGGAATGTTCACCACCCTGTCTGCAGTGCTTGTGCCAACTGTCGGAGGTTCTGTGGTTGTTGCCTGGGGAATGTTCACCACCCTGTCTGCAGTGCTTGTGCCAACTGCCGGAGGTTCTGTGGTTGTTGCCTGGGGAATGTTCACCACCCTGTCTGCAGTACTTGTGCCAACTGTCGGAGGTTCTGTGGTTGTTGCCTGGGGAATGTTCACCACCCTGTCTGCAGTGCTTGTGCCAACTGTCGGAGGTTCTGTGGTTGTTGCCTGGGGAATGTTCACCACCCTGTCTGCAGTGCTTGTGCCAACTGTCGGAGGTTCTGTGGTTGTTGCCTGGGGAATGTTCACCACCCTGTCTGGAGTGCTTGTGCCAACTGTCGGAGGTTCTGTGGTTGTTGCCTGGGGAATGTTCACCACCCTGTCTGCAGTGCTTGTGCCAACTGTCGGAGGTTGTGGTTGTTGCCTGGGGAATGTTCACCACCCTGTCTGAAGTGCTTGTGCCAACTGTCGGAGGTTCTGTGGTTGTTGCCTGGGGAATGTTCACCACCCTGTCTGCAGTACTTGTGCCAACTGTCGGAGGTTGTGGTTGTTGCCTGGGGAATGTTCACCACCCTGTCTGCAGTGCTTGTGCCAACTGTCGGAGGTTCTGTGGTTGTTGCCTGGGGAATGTTCACCACCCTGTCTGCAGTGCTTGTGCCAACTGTCGGAGGTTGTGGTTGTTGCCTGGGGAATGTTCACCACCCTGTCTGCAGTGCTTGTGCCAACTGTCGGAGGTTCTGTGGTTGTTGCCTGGGGAATGTTCACCACCCTGTCTGCAGTGCTTGTGCGAACCGGCGGAGGTTGTGGTTGTTGCCTGGGGAATGTTCACCACCCTGTCTGGAGTGCTTGTGCCAACTGTCGGAGGTTCTGTGGTTGTTGCCTTGGGAATGTTCACCACCCTGTCTGCAGTGCTTGTGCCAACTGTCGGAGGTTCTGTGGTTGTTGCCTGGGGAATGTTCACCACCCTGTCTGCAGTGCTTGTGCCAACTGTCGGAGGTTCTGTGGTTGTTGCCTGGGGAATGTTCACCACCCTGTCTGCAGTGCTTGTGCCAACTGTCGGAGGTTCTGTGGTTGTTGCCTGGGGAATGTTCACCACCCTGTCTGCAGTGCTTGTGCCAACTGTCGGAGGTTCTGTGGTTGTTGCCTGGGGAATGTTCACCACCCTGTCTGCAGTGCTTGTGCCAACTGTCGGAGGTTCTGTGGTTGTTGCCTGGGGAATGTTCACCACCCTGTCTGCAGTGCTTGTGCCAACTGTCGGAGGTTCTGTGGTTGTTGCCTGGGGAATGTTCACCACCCTGTCTGAAGTGCTTGTGCCAACTGTCGGAGGTTCTGTGGTTGTTGCCTGGGGAATGTTCACCACCCTGTCTGCAGTGTTTGTGCCAACTGTCGGAGGTTGTGGTTGTTGCCTGGGGAAAGTTCACCACCCTGTCTGCAGTGCTTGTGCCAACTGTCGGAGGTTCTGTGGTTGTTGCCTGGGGAATGTTCACCACCCTGTCTGCAGTGCTTGTGCCAACTGTCGGAGGTTGTGGTTGTTGCCTGGGGAATATTCACCACCCTGTCTGTAGTGCTTGTGCCAACTGTCGGAGGTTCTGTGGTTGTTGCCTGGGGAATGTTCACCACCCTGTCTGCAGTGCTTCTGCCAACTGTCGGAGGTTGTGGTTGTTGCCTGGGGAATGTTCACCACCCTGTCTGCAGTGCTTGTGCCAACTGTCGGAGGTTCTGTGGTTGTTGCCTGGGGAATGTTCACCACCCTGTCTGCAGTGCTTGTGCCAACTGTCGGAGGTTGTGGTTGTTGCCTGGGGAATGTTCACCACCCTGTCTCAATGCTTGTGCCAACTGTCGGAGGTTGTGGTTGTTGCCTGGGGAATGTTCACTACCCTGTCTGGAGTGCTTGTGCCAACTGTCGGAGGTTCTGTGGTTGTTGCCTGGGGAATGTTCACCACCCTGTCTGCAGTGCTTGTGCCAACTGTCGGAGGTTCTGTGGTTGTTGCCTGGGGAATGTTCACCACCCTGTCTGCAGTGCTTGTGCCAACTGTCGGAGGTTCTGTGGTTGTTGCCTGGGGAATGTTCACCACCCTGTCTGCAGTGCTTGTGCCAACTGTCGGAGGTTCTGTGGTTGTTGCCTGGGGAATGTTCACCACCCTGTCTGCAGTGCTTGTGCCAACTGTCGGAGGTTCTGTGGTTGTTGCCTGGGGAATGTTCACTACCCTGTCTGCAGTGCTTGTGCCAACTGTCGGAGGTTCTGTGGTTGTTGCCTGGGTAATGTTCACCACCCTGTCTGCAGTGCTTGTGCCAACTGTCGGAGGTTCTGTGGTTGTTGCCTGGGGAATGTTCACCACCCTGTCTGCAGTGCTTGTGCCAACTGTCGGAGGTTCTGTGGTTGTTGCCTGGGGAATGTTCACCACCCTGTCTGCAGTGCTTGTGCCAACTGTCGTAGGTTGTGGTTGTTGCCTGGGGAATGTTCACCACCCTGTCTGCAGTGCTTGTGCCAACTGTCGGAGGTTCTGTGGTTGTTGCCTGGGGAATGTTCACCACCCTGTCTGCAGTGCTTGTGCCAACTGTCGGAGGTTGTGGTTGTTGCCTGGGGAATGTTCACCACCCTGTCTGCAGTGCTTGTGCCAACTGTCAGAGGTTGTGGTTGTTGCCTGGGGAATGTTCACCACCCTGTCTGCAGTGCTTGTGCCAACTGTCGGAGGTTCTGTGGTTGTTGCCTGGGGAATGTTCACCACCCTGTCTGCAGTGCTTGTGCCAACTGTCGAAGGTTCTGTGGTTGTTGCCTGGGGAATGTTCACCACCCTGTCTGAAGTGCTTGTGCCAACTGTCGGAGGTTCTGTGGTTGTTGCCTGGGGAATGTTCACCACCCTGTCTGCAGTGTTTGTGCCAACTGTCGGAGGTTGTGGTTGTTGCCTGGGGAAAGTTCACCACCCTGTCTGCAGTGCTTGTGCCAACTGTCGGAGGTTCTGTGGTTGTTGCCTGGGGAATGTTCACCACCCTGTCTGCAGTGCTTGTGCCAACTGTCGGAGGTTCTGTGGTTGTTGCCGACATGCTACCTGTTCACTTGCTGTGACATTATGATGGCATGCAAATGAAAACCCACGTTTATATAGCCCAACAAGTGATGTTGCAGATGCATGTCAGAATGGTTGTTTCGGTGCCAGTTTCCCACATGGTTGTGTTTTTGCAATTTTTCATCTTTTTATCAGATTTCTGCAATACACCACACAATCAGGCCCAATCCATGCAGAAATGACCAGTTCATCTTTTGTATTAATTTTGTATGGATGTCGGCAACACTGTCAGATATTTATGATTTGACTTCTGATTTGTTTGTTTTTCCAGAGTATGTATATTTATTATTTATGCAAGATGATGTACAATATATGAACATACAGTGTAGGATGCTGTGTTAACTGCTTCAGAGTACATTACACTAATTTACAGTGTTGTGTCTTTATTGTTGGTAATCAAATGGCTGTTTGGATGTTTGCAGGTGACGAGGAGTGGTACCGTGATGGTGCATCAACGTCAGGGACGACACTAACTGCTGGCCCCCAACCGGAGGACATGGACTCGCCGCGGCAGTTCCCCCCCTCCCCGAGGGACATGTACTATGGCTTCTATGAAACCATCCCAGCCAACGGTCACAAGGTAACACGACCATTCACTGTCAGAGTAGCAGAAGTGTCATATCCACAATAATAGACCTGAGATAGTTACAGTTGTTCCACCAGGATAGACCTGAGATAGTTACAGTTGTTCCACCAGGATAGACCTGAGATAGTTACAGTTGTTCCACCAGGATAGACCTGAGATAGTTACAGTTGTTCCACCGGGATAGACCTGAGATAGTTACAGTTGTTCCACCAGGATAGACCTGAGATAGTTACAGTTGTTCCACCAGGATAGACCTGAGATAGTTACAGTTGTTTCACCATGACAGACCTGAGATAGTTACAGTTGTTCTACCATGATAGACCTGAGATAGTTACAGTTGTTCCACCAGGATAGACCTGAGATAGTTACAGTTGTTTCACCAGGATAGACCTGAGATAGTTACAGTTGTTCCACCAGGATAGACCTGAGATAGTTACAGTTGTTCCACCTGGATAGACCTGAGATAGTTACAGTTGTTCCACCAGGATAGACCTGAGATACTTACAGTTGTTTCACCAGGATAGACCTGAGATAGTTACAGTTGTTCTACCAGGATAGACCTGAGATAGTTACAGTTGTTCCACCAGGATAGACCTGAGATAGTTACAGTTGTTCCACCAGGATAGACCTGAGATAGTTACAGTTGTTCCACCAGGATAGACCTGAGATAGTTACAGTTGTTCCACCAGGATAGACCTGAGTTACAGTTGTTCCACCAGGATAGACCTGAGATAGTTACAGTTGTTTCACCATAATAGACCTGAGACAGTTACAGTTGTTCCACCAGGATAGACCTGAGATAGTTACAGTTGTTCTACCAGGATAGACCTGAGATAGTTACAGTTGTTCCACCAGGATAGACCTGAGATAGTTACAGTTGTTCCACACCAGGATAGACCTGAGATAGTTACAGTTGTTTCACCAGGATAGACCTGAGATAGTTACAGTTGTTTCACCAGGATAGACCTGAGATAGTTACAGTTGTTCCACCAGGATAGACCTGAGATAGTTACAGTTGTTCCACCGGGATAGACCTGAGATAGTTACAGTTGTTCCACCAGGATAGACCTGAGATAGTTACAGTTGTTCCACCAGGATAGACCTGAGATAGTTACAGTTGTTTCACCATGACAGACCTGAGATAGTTACAGTTGTTCTACCAGGATAGACCTGAGATAGTTACAGTTGTTCCACCAGGATAGACCTGAGATAGTTACAGTTGTTTCACCAGGATAGACCTGAGATAGTTACAGTTGTTCCACCAGGATAGACCTGAGATAGTTACAGTTGTTCCACCTGGATAGACCTGAGATAGTTACAGTTGTTCCACCAGGATAGACCTGAGATACTTACAGTTGTTTCACCAGGATAGACCTGAGATAGTTACAGTTGTTCTACCAGGATAGACCTGAGATAGTTACAGTTGTTCCACCAGGATAGACCTGAGATAGTTACAGTTGTTCCACCAGGATAGACCTGAGATAGTTACAGTTGTTCCACCAGGATAGACCTGAGATAGTTACAGTTGTTCCACCAGGATAGACCTGAGATAGTTACAGTTGTTTCACCAGGATAGACCTGAGATAGTTACAGTTGTTCCACCAGGATAGACCTGAGATAGTTACAGTTGTTCCACCAGGATAGACCTGAGAAAGTTACAGTTGTTCCACCAGGATAGACCTGAGATAGTTACAGTTGTTCCACCAGGATAGACCTGAGATAGCCACAGTTGTTCCACCAGGATAGACCTGAGATAGTTACAGTTGTTCCACCAGGATAGACCTGAGATAGTTACAGTTGTTTCACAAGGATAGACCTGAGATAGCCACAGTTGTTCCAGCAGGATAGACCTGAGATAGTTACAGTTCCACCAGGATAGACCTGAGATAGTTACAGTTGTTCCACCAGGATAGACCTGAGATAGTTACAGTTGTTCCACCAGGATAGACCTGAGATAGCCACAGTTGTTTCACCAGGATAGACCTGAGATAGCCACAGTTGTTCCACCAGGATAGACCTGAGATAGTTACAGTTGTTTCACCATAATAGACCTGAGAAAGTTACAGTTGTTCCACCAGGATAGACCTGAGATAGTTACAGTTGTTTCACCAGGATAGACCTGAGATAGTTACAGTTGTTTTACCATAATAGACCTGAGAAAGTTACAGTTGTTCCACCAGGATAGACCTGAGATAGTTACAGTTGTTCCACCAGGATAGACCTGAGATAGCCACAGTTGTTCCACCAGGATAGACCTGAGATAGTTACAGTTGTTCCACCAGGATAGACCTGAGATAGTTAGAGTTGTTTCACAAGGATAGACCTGAGATAGCCACAGTTGTTCCACCAGGATAGACCTGAGATAGTTACAGTTGTTCCACCAGGATAGACCTGAGATAGCCACAGTTGTTCCACCAGGATAGACCTGAGATAGTTACAGTTGTTCCACACCAGGATAGACCTGAGATAGTTACAGTTGTTTCACCAGGATAGACCTGAGATAGCCACAGTTGTTCCACCAGGATAGACCTGAGATAGTTACAGTTGTTCCACCAGGATAGACCTGAGATAGCCACAGTTGTTCCACCAGGATAGACCTGATATAGCTGCATTTGTTCCACCAGGATAGACCTGAGATAGTTACAGTTGTTCCACCAGGATAGACCTGAGATAGTTACAGTTGTTTCACCAGGATAGACCTGAGATAGTTACAGTTGTTCCACCAGGATAGACCTGAGATAGCCACAGTTGTTCCACCAGGATAGACCTGATATAGCTGCATTTGTTCCACCAGGATAGACCTGAGATAGTTACAGTTGTTCCACCAGGATAGACCTGAGATAGTTACAGTTGTTTCACCAGGATAGACCTGAGATAGTTACAGTTGTTCCACCAGGATAGACCTGAGATAGTTACAGTTGTTTCACCAGGATAGACCTGAGATAGTTACAGTTGTTCCACCAGGATAGACCTGAGATAGCCACAGTTGTTCCATCAGGATAGACCTGAGACCGTTACAGTTGTTCCAGCAGGATAGACCTGAGATAGTTACAGTTGTTCCACCAGGATAGACCTGAAATAGTTACAGTTGTTCCACCAGGATAGACCTGAGATAGTTACAGTTGTTCCACCAGGATAGACCTGAAATAGCTACAGAAACAGTAGACACGCATCTCAGCTAGATGTTTATACAACAGTAGTCACAGATTGTAAGTGTTTTGGTTGTTTATACAATAGAAGTCACAGATTGTAAGTGTTATGGCTTTAAAGATAATATTAGTCACAGATTGTAAGTGTTATGGTTGTTTATACAATAGTAGTCACAGATTGTAAGTGTTGTGGTTGTTTATACAACAGTAGTCACAGATTGTAAGTTTTATTGTTGTTTATACAACGGTAGTCACAGATTGTAAGTGTTATGGTTTATACAACAGTAGTCACAGATTGTAAGTGTTATGGTTGTTTATACAAATGTTGTCACAGATTGTAAGTGTTATGGTTGTTCATACAATAGTAGTCACAGATTGTAAGTGTTATGGTTGTTTATACAAATGAAGTCACAGATTGTAAGTGTTATGGTTGTTTATACAACAGTAGTCACAGATTGTAAGTGTTATGGTTGTTTATACAACAGTAGTCACAGATTGTAAGTGTTATGGGTGTTTATACAACACTAGTCACAGATTGTAAGTTTATGGTTGTTTATACAACAGTAGTCACAGATTGTAAGTTTATGGTTGTTTATACAACAGTAGTCACAGATTGTAAGTGTTATGGTTGTTTATACAACAGTAGTCACAGATTGTAAGTGTTATGGTTGTTTATACAACAGTAGTCACAGATTGTAAGTGTTATGGTTGTTTATACAACAGTAGTCACAGATTGTAAGTGTTATGGTTGTTTATACAAATGTAGTCACAGATTGTAAGTGTTATGGTTGTATATACAAATGTAGTCACAGATTGTAGGTGTTATGGTTGTATATACAATAGTAGTCACAGATTGTAAGTGTTATGGTTGTTTATACAACAGTAGTCACAGATTGTAAGTGTTATGGGTGTTTATACAACAGTAGTCACAGATTGTAAGTGTTATGGTTGTTTATACAACAGTAGTCACAGATTGTAAGTGTTATGGTTGTTTATACAACAATTGTCACAGATTGTAAGTGTTATGGTTGTTTATACAAATGTAGTCACAGATTGTAAGTGTTATGGTTGTTTATACAAATGTAGTCACAGATTGTAGGTGTTATGGTTGTTTATACAAATGTAATCACAGATTGTAAGTATTATGGTTGTTTATACAAATGTAGTCACAGATTGTAAGTATTATGGTTGTTTATACAACAGTAGTCACAGATTGTAAGTGTTATGGTTGTTTATACAACAGTAGTCACAGATTGTAAGTGTTATGGTTGTTTATACAACAGTTGTCACAGATTGTAAGTGTTATGGTTGTTTATACAAATGTAGTCACAGATTGTAAGTGTTATGGTTGTTTATACAAATGTAGTCACAGATTGTAAGTGTTATGGTTGTTTATACAAATGTAATCACAGATTGTAAGTATTATGGTTGTTTATACAAATGTAGTCACAGATTGTAAGTATTATGGTTGTTTATACAACAGCAGTCACAGATTGTAAGTGTTATGGTTGTTTATACAACAGTAGTCACAGATTGTAAGTGTTATGGTTGTTTATACAAATGTAGTCACAGATTGTAGGTGTTATGGTTGTTTATACAAATGTAGTCACAGATTGTAGGTGTTATGGTTGTTTATACAAATGTAATCACAGATTGTAAGTATTATGGTTGTTTATACAAATGTAGTCACAGATTGTAGGTGTTATGGTTGTTTATACAAATGTAATCACAGATTGTAAGTGTTATGGTTGTTTATACAACAGTAGTCACAGATTGTAAGTGTTATGGTTGTTTAGATCATATTAGTCACAGGTGATGACATCTTTATCTTGTGCTGCATCCAGC